CACACACACACACACGCGCGCGCATGCGCACACACACACACATACAAAGAATACAAAGAACTGCCAACCAAAAATCCCGACCCCCCCCGATGTGCTGTGGAAGGAGCCTTCTTTCCGACGTCCTCCACCAGCCGCCGCAGCACCATGACGAACCGCCCTCACCCCAGCGACGTCATTCGAAATTTGAATTTCGAACAGGGATGGCATGCCTAGTTTTTTTTTTTTTTTTTGGGTCGCCACAAAGATTCGGAGTTTTGCCGCCAATCGAAGCTGGACCACGGCCGTAACAACAGACAACAGCCCATGGACCACCGACTGCAGCCCACCCTGCGGTCGCCGATAAGATTATTGACTGGAGGACGACTGGCCGCGGGACCTCTATAGGAATCCTCCTCAGACGTCCATCCTGAGGACAAGTGGAATGGCGGCGGGAAAAATCTCGGAAGCCCCGAAGGAAAACTCCTCGGGCCCCGAGGACGGCCCGTGGAGTGTCTAACGAGCCCCCGAGTACACCTGGACCTGATTCAGAACGCGCTGCATTGTGCGCCAGGCTTTTCAGAAGCATCAGAGGTGTAGTACTTCTTTTCTTTCTTTATTGCCCCATGCCGCCCGGCTGGCGCCACCCATGATTGTGGTGGTCCGGTACGCCCGCGCCAGTAGGCAGCGAACACATTTCTACGAGGCTTGGGCCGTGTACTGGTCTCTTGAACCACCAGTACTTCTGGAAGTCGCTGCATGCATGCAGCCAGCCATTGCTACTAACAGTGCCTTTGACGCTTCCACTTTAGTGAATTTAGCTACCAGCAATCTACCTTTTTTTTTATCTCTAATGATTTGATTGACATAATGTGGCTAAACTTCTTTGTGTAAAACGCCCCTCCACAAAATGGAAGTTTCATTTTGGATTTTAGCTGAGGTGACAATCCCGCTCCACAGGCCCGTTCTTCTCCGCAGGTCGTGCACATGAGGTCGCGGCTTTAAACGACCAGTAGCGGCTTTAAACGACCAGTACTTGGCCCAGCTATCGGCCGCGGAAAAAAATAGAGTAGACTCTTTTCTGGCCGGATGAGTTCGGGCGCTCCTGTAGTAGCCAGTATACGTATACTAAAATCGTGGCGCGTTAATGGGCACGACTCTAAGAAGTACTGCAAACCACCAGTACCTCCGAGCCTATTTTCGACGTGGTACTGGCCAGTACCCGAACTTTTAGGAGGCCGGGCCCGACAACGGCTGCCGTTGATAAATCTGATCGGCGACCGTGAAAATGTTTCGGCCTCCTGAAAGGTCGGAGGCAGAGTATTTTCGAACCGTCAAAGGTACTGGTTGGAGGTACTGCTGGTTCAACTTGAGGAACAGATCCGGGGCCTGGTTCCATTAGCAAAGAGGATTGGATTTAATTCCTGAATCTGGATGTGTTTGTGGAGAGATACGGAGCTACTTATTACAAGTCTTAGACCTGAGGTACGATCCCCATGGAACTAGATGAACAGCAGTCCTGAATTACACTTTTTTTTTTTTTTTTTCCTAAGTCCTGAATTTCACTTCAACTGCCTGGGGGTAGGCCCCAATAGCAAAGTAGCACTTCCGGGCGTCAGCGATTTCGATCGTGTGTCGCGCGGAGTGATGCATTGTGGCCGTCGAACTCCTCGGATGTGGACGGCCCACATTATTTTCAGCAAATGATGTATTTAGGTTGGCCTCCCATCCATGTCCATTCAGTGGCGTCCAAAAGAAAAGATCCCCTACACGACTGCTGCTCCATTCTCCACAGACGCAAAGGTGCATTTGAAAAGATCCCCTACACGACTGCTGCTCAATTTTTTTTTTCGGCCTTCGACTCCGAAAATTTGGAAGACATGCCAAAGTGGAAACTTTAACTCTGCCCGGGTTGTTTGTGAGTAATTCCCGGCCTCCTTTCATTTGTAATAAAACGTAATGATTCTTCCAAAAAAAAAAAAAAAAAAAAAAAAAAAAAAAAGCCGAACTTTCTCCAATCGGTGGAGTACCAACCGGTGAACAGCGGCAGCACAGCTGTCAGCTGTTCTTTCGGATCTTCCGTGTCAGAGATAGTACCCTTTTGGTTATCTTTTGTATCGAAAAGCACATGATTTTTTCATTAAAAAATTGTTATGTTTTTTTATCTGCAGCCAGTGACGTAGTACTACTTCGCTAGTGGGTCCTCGCTCCTGGGCTGGACACTCTGGTCAGTTCGATGATGATATCACAAAGGCCATAGCTGTTTA